ATTTGATGTTTTATCATCCATACATATTGTATGTAACTCAAAGCCTCTTTCTTCTGGTAAACAAGATTCAGTATTTTGCTCTTCAGGGAGATGGAAAGAACCCATACAAAAGCTTGTGGAGATCATTAAAAGCATCTTTTTTCCTTCCAACGTTTAGGGGTATGAAGGAACCACCTGTGACCGGCACACACCGTCTTGTGGACCCGTTTCTTGTCACAATGGCGGGGTTTGCATTTCACCCCAGTCCAGACCACGGTGCCTCTGTGTAGCAGGCTTCTCTGGGCTAGACTGCCGCCAACCTCCCTGTTCTTCGGGTTCCTGCACAGCTACCAATGGCACCCTGAAACCTGAGTGCCAGAAGACTTCAGGAGACGGGCGTTGTGACCGGGCGTGCAGCTCCCCTGAGACCAACTGGGATGGTGGCGACTGTTCCCTGGGCTTGCTCAACCCTTGGGGAGGTTGCCCAAAGCAAGAACTGTGCCAGACAGATTTCCGAAATGGGCACTGCCAGCGTGCCTGTGACAATGAAGGTTGCCTGTATGATGGCTTTGACTGTGTCCAACAGAAGGAATGCAAGTGAGTGTCCAAAAGTGGGGGCGGGGGGGGGGGGAAGGCTTGACAATCCTAACAAGAGGATGTTGATGAGGAATGGACAAACAGCCAGAGCATGTGCAAACTCATTTTTTGGATGATAGCTTCCAGAATGGACCAGCCAAACAAGTCCAAAACACATTCAATGGGTATGGACAAACTTGGGCCCTCCAGGTGTTTTGGTCTCCAACTCTCACAATTCCTAACAGCCTACCGGGCAAACTTCAGCCTTCCGGGTGTTTTGGACTTCAACTCCCACAATTTCTAGCAGCCTACTGGCTGTTCGGAATTGTGAGAGTTGAAGTCCAAAATACCTGGACGGCCAAAGTTTGCCTGTGCCTGGTGTAGACACACCCAAAGTCACATTTCCTCAGCCCAGTTTCCAAATCTAGATTACCTGCTTTGGATGAGATCATATGATGGTGTAGACTTGGGCCCTTCTACAATGCCATATAAAATCCAGATTATCAGTTTTGAACTGGATTATATGGCAGTGTTGACTCAGATAATCCAGTTCAAAGCTGACAGTGTGGGTTTTCTGCTTTGATAAGTTTACCCATGCTTGGGTTAGAAGCAAAGGACCCCCATGAAAGTTTTAAAAAATGAAGAAAAAAAACCAAATTCTTTTTTTTAGCTGAGAGAACACCTCTCTAGGAATTTCAGTCTCTTCAAGGTGACCCCAGAATTGCATTGGAGGACATGGGGATCCCTACAGAGGTATTCTCTCTAAAAATCTCTCTAGGTCCTCCAGCATTATCTTATGCTCAACTTCTAGCAAAAGTTGTTCATAGAGTCATGCTAAAGGACCTAGAGCAGTGGTTCTCAAGATGTTTTTGGCCTTCAACTCTCAGAAATCCTAACAGCTGGTAAACTGGCTGGGATTTCTGGGATTTGTAGGCCAAAACACCTGGGGACCCACAGGTTGAGAACCACTGACCTAGAAAATCTCAGAGACACTATTTTAATCAAGCCCACAAATAAGCAAATCTGCAAAAGTAAAAACTGCAAATTTTTGACTTTTATGGTAATCCCATGCCTCTAACCCAGGCGTGGGCAAACTTTGGCCCTACAGGTATTTTGCACTTCAACTCCCACAATTCCTAACCTACAACAACCCAATAATTTTTTTCCAATTTTTTGCGGCAAAATTAGGTGCCTCGCCTTATATTCAGGTTGGCTTATACTTGAGTATGTACGGTAAGCAGGGCCGTAGCCAGAAAAAAAATTCGGGAGGGGTTGAAATTTTCGGGGGGGGGGGGGGTTTGAAAATTTCGTGGGGGGGGGTGAAACCTGCCTCCTAGCTCACACTGAAGCAAAGAGCACAGCAGGGGGCAGAGCAGCCTTCAGTAGCCTGCAGCTCCGCCCTTGTCAACCACCTCCACCAAGTCTGGCCTCCTTAAGCAGCCTTCAATAGCCTGCAGCTCCGCCTCATTCAACCACCTCCACCAAGTCTGGCCTCCTTAATGAGAGCATTCAACACCCCCCCCCCCAACTTGGTTGCTTCGCTACATCGGCTATTGCTGCAAGTAATGACAGTGTGAATAAATTGTCAATATTTGCTTGAGATAGTACTTGCAGTTCTGGAGGGACTCTTAATTTTTTGCATCTCATAGACTTAGCATGGGGATTTGGTTAACCAGTTAAAATTCATGAGTAAACCAGGTTTTTTAAAAAAATCTGAAACATTTCGGGGGGGGGTTGAACCCCTAACATTCCCCCTTGCTACAGGCCTGACGGTAAGTACTGCACAATTAAGCAGGAAATAACATATTCAAACCAGGAACAGAATTTTTTCAAATGTTGATATATAGAAGACAGGAAATAATATCTCTCTTCATCTGTTTCTCTCTTCGTCTGTTTCTCTACACCAGTGACTCTTCAGCTCTTGTGTTTTGGAATTCAGCTCCCAGAATCTTTGGCCCAAATTCTCCAAACTGGCTGGGGATTTTGGGATCTGAAGTGCAAAACTCCTGAACAACCAATGTGTGAACGCCATACCATGCATCACTGTGTCATGAACCTTTCCTCTCCAGCCCATCCTATGCCATGTATTGCCGGGACCGCTTCCGTGACGGACACTGTGACCGAGGGTGCAACATGGCTTCCTGCGGGTGGGACGGAGGAGACTGCTTGCCATTGCCTGTCCCAGCAAAGGCACCACTATTGGGACTAGTGGCCCTGCTTCCCCGGAAAGCCATCCCTCAGTTTCTGCATTCCCTGACGGTTGTCACGCGGGCCGTGCTACAGGTTAGGCGGGACTCAGAGGGCAAAGAGCGGATCTATCCCTATACTGGGAAGGAAGAGCTTGGAAGCAAGAGCAACTGGACTCAGAAAAAGACTTCTGTCACAGAAACCATTGGGTAAGAGTTTTGTTGGCCTAAATTTGTCACACCAACTGTATTTTGTGGTTTTATGCAGGAAGACCACTGCATATTCTACACAAATGCCTAATTTCTTGTGTCTTTTCTTATTGCAGTTTTACTATCTTCCTGACTGTGGACAGCAGCATGTGCTCAGGGCTCTGTCCCTCATCCCCCAAATCTGTCCTGAATATTTTGGGGGCCTTGTCAGCAAAGGGATCCCTGGAATCCTTACTTTCATACCCGCTGGTCGCAGCCTGGCTTGAGTCGGTGGAAAATGGTACGTTACATCAATGGGAGGGAGAGGGACAGAAATTCTGGTTGGGTGCAGAGAACAAAGCCCTAAATGCTAAAGGAAATGTGATCTTGCTCATAGGTTACCTATTTTCCTCAGTGCTGCATCCCTCAACAATCACATTTGCAAACTCAGCCTATATATCTTTTCCAGGGTCCACTCAGTAAAGAGAATGTGTTAAATCCAAGTTGCAGCATGGGGAGAATTCATGTCTCAGCAGTAGCCAGGGGAACGGTTGCACAATTAAAACTTATGCGCCAGTTGCATGCCCATACCTTGGGAAGTCAGACTTGGCCATAGTAGTCCACCCTCTGGTTACATCCCAAAATAGACTGCTGCAATGTGTACCACATGGGGTTGCCTTTGAAGACTGTTTGGAAGTTTCAAGTAGTCCAATGGGCGGAAGCCAGGTTCCTTACTGGAGCAGTGTACAGGGAGCACACAACCCCCCTGTTGCACAAGCTCCACTGGCTGCCAGTCTGCTACCGAGCACAATTCAAAGTGCTGGCTTTAGCCTATAAAGCCCTAAATAGTTCCAGCTTACCTGTCTGGACATATCTTCCTCTACGACCCACTTCGGAGGTTAAGATTGTCTGGGAGGCCCTGCTCTCAGTCCCACCCCCTTTGCAGGCACAACTGCTGGAGATGAGAGACAGGGCCTTCTCAGTGGTGGCCCCTTGGCTATGGAACTCCCTCCCCAGTGATATTAGAGCAGACCCCTCCCTCCTGACCTTCAGGAAGAAAGTGAAGACATGGATGTGAGACCAAGCCTTTGGGCAATAACTCTCAGTGCAATAAGTAACTATGGAATAGTGCAATTTTCAACTTGAATGGCTCTTGGAATATGCCTTATCCTATGTATGTATATGTGGCATCGAATTGTGCCTATTTGGGAGCTGTCCTAAGTCCCCTTCAGGGTGAGAAGGGTGGGATATAAAAGCAGTAAATAATAAATATTTATTGTGGGACTTCAGAGAAAACTATCTGGATGTTATAGCTACTTCTAATGGTTTGGGCGTTGGATTAGGACTCTGAGAGACCAGGTTCAAATGTCTGCTCAGGCATAGGAACCCATTGGGTGACCTTGGGGAAGACACACTCTCTCAGCCTCAGAGAAAGGCAATGGCAAACTCCCTTCTGAACAACTCTTGCCAGGAAAACCCAGTGCTAGGTTACTTTAAGTTCCCTTTATGTCAGAATACCTCCCTAATCACCTCTAGAGCCTCCAAAACAATTTCTAGCAGATATGCATCACAGAGGAACGCTGGCGGACTTAGAGATTCCTAGGGAATCTGTCCAGAGGAGGGCGACTAAAATGATCAAGGGTCTGGAGAACAAGCCCTATGAGGAGCGGCTTAAAGAGCTGGGCATGTTTAGCCTGAAGAAGAGAAGGTTGAGAGGAGATATGATAGACATGTATAAATATGTGAGAGGAAGCCACAGGGAGGAGGGAGCAAGCTTGTTTTCTGCTTCCCTGGAGACTAGGACGGAAACAATGGCTTCAAACTACAAGAAAGGAGATTCCATCTGAACATGAGGAAGAACTTCCTGACTGTGAGAGCTGTTCAGCAGTGGAACTCTCTGCCCCGGAGTGTGGTGGAGGGGTTGGACTGGATGGTCCACTAGATCTCTTCCAACTTTATGATTCTATGATTCTAGGGAGATAAAAATAGTTTTTAAAATCACATTCCCCCCCCCCCCATTTTGTGGTGGTTCTATTCGCTTTAGCCCAGTGAATGCCCAGTGGAGGGTTAACTGTACATGTGCGATGAAAGTAAATGAAGTCCCCAAATCCAGTCTTGACCTGTCCCTTGTAAGAGACCAATATTAGCACCAATGAGATCTTCAGTTTTAAAAGTAGCTTTTAAATTAGTAAAACTCTAGTAACTTTGCACGCTCTGCAAAATTGACATTCTACTATCTTGCCAGATTCACAGACCTCCGTTCCACGTTTCTCCGGGCCCCTCCTTTACGGCGTGGTGGCAGGTGTTCCTGGTGATAGCCCTGGGCATCTTTGTGGGGATCTGGAGGATTCACCGGCCCCAGCACCGAGAACATGGTTCATTGTGGTTCCCGCCTGGATTTGCTCCACACCAGGGCAAGAAACGGCGCCGCCGGAGAGAACCTGTCGGGGAAGATGCTATTGGGTTAAAGTAAGTATATAGAGCAGGCATGGGCAAACTTTGGCCCTCCGGGTGTTTTGGACTTCAACTCCCACAATTACTAACAGTAGACTTTGAGGAGCAAGGGGAGAAATTGGTTAATTATTTACCTGGGAAAAGTGATTATGAGATCAAATTATATGGTTTTGGGTATTGTGTGGTTTCATTTCAAGGACAGGAGACATAATTTTCTCAGATGGGTCCCCTTTCGATGTATTAAAGAACTATTTAATCACACGTTGACAATTTGCCCAAACTTTCCTTTCATGTTCTCTCCCAACGCAGACCAAGGAAAATGGAGATTGAATTTGTAGAAGAGACAGATATGTTTTCCAGTCCCCATTATGATGGGCCTCTGAACACCAAGGATGTGGAGGTAACCTAGTGAGCGTCAAGCGCTGCCTCCATCCGCAGCCAAAGAAATGTTGATTTAGGCAGGCCTTCATTAACTAACTGGATCAAAATGGAAGTGTAGACTTTTAATGTTTTTATTAATGTGCTGTGTTTCATGCATATCTTAAATTACAGTGTGGCTACGTTATCTGCAGAGGATACATTCCTCAACTTACTGCAGAAACAAGAAACAATGGCAAGCTCTATTGAAATAAATTACTTCTAGCAGATGTTACCATAAAATCTCTCTAGTACTTTATTTAGGCGATCCTTCGTAACCTGAGGATGGTAGTCCTCCAGGTGTAGTGTCTTGGCGGTGAATCCATAGGTGGCTGTGGAGCCCTATTTTTGATCCGCATGTTCTCCCACAGTGAGGACATTGGTTTCCAGGTGAAAAGCGGTCCTGGTCAGGGTTAACTTGACACGCCTTCCACTTGGCATGTTTTTCCCTTTCACCCTCTATTCATGCCTCTTCGAATTCTATAGCACTGCTATAGGCATGTTTAGCCTGAAGAAGAGAAGGCTGAGAGGAGATATGATAGCCATGTATAAATATGTGAGAGGAAGCCACAGGGAGGAGGGAACAAGCTTGTTTTCTGCTTCCTTGGAGACTAGGACGCGGAACAATGGCTTCAAACTACAAGAGAGAAGATTCCATCTGAACATGAGGAAGAACTTCCTGACTGCTGGAGGGTCCTTCTTTGGAAGCTTTTAAACAGGGGCTGGATGGCCATCTGTCAGGGGTGCTTTGAATGCAATATTCCTGCTTCTTGGAAGGGGGTTGGACTGGATGGCCCATGAGGTCTCTTCCAACTCTTTGATTCTATGATTCTATGCTGGTCACAGCTGACCTCCAGTTAGAGCGCTCAAGGGCCAGGGCTTCCCAGTTTCCTCTTCATGGAGTCTGTGAAAGACGCACATAATGGGTTTTACTTCTGTGCATGCACAGCTGTTCAGAACCTTCTATGCCACAGTTTTTAAAAATCTCTCTAGAGAACCTAGGAAATCAGCTAGGAATTAGCTAGGTCCTCCAGGGCAATTCTCTTATAACTTCTGGCAGATATATCCCAATCCTAGAAATTCATAGAAAGGACTTATTTTGTTGGATATGGGTATTATTACCCCATGGGGCCATACTGTTTGGGCCAAAATCCTGCATCAGTTCAGTATAGTCCAGTTTTAGTAAGCACCACATCAGGTAAAAGGCGAGGACTCTGTGAAAAGAGGAACATGCTTGCATTGCCCTTCTTCCTTTTGCACGGTCTCCATAATAGCACCCTATTAACACACATCTTCTTGCCACACCAACACATAGAGTTTCCCTCCATACCTGGCTTATCCTTTTGAACCCATGCACTTTTTTAAAAAATCTGAAAGAAGGTGCAATTTCAAGACTTGGCCCATTGTTGTGAGAATCCCACTTTTTGTTTTCGTTCCATGGTTGCACAGTGCCGCTGTTTCAGTTTCCGTTACATGTTTTCATTTCTCTTTATCTCCTGTCATAAAATAATAATAATAATAATAATGTGTTCAACTTGTGATTTTGCGATACAAGATCTCGTTTGCTGTGACACACTGTGTTTTTGTGTCAATAAAATAATAATAATAATAATAATAATAATAATAAGGATGCTTTGCCAACTCCAGTAGATGACCACATATCATATAAATCAGTTTATAATGCCAGAAAGATGGTGATGTTATTACTGTGCAACATGGTTTTGGGGTGCTGGAACTATGCAATATTGCAGCAGCCACACAAGTTCCCTATCACACCACTAGTAATGGGGGAACAACACCCTATTTGGAACATATTCATGGATTTCTCCCATGAATTAAAAAAAAACAAGGGGAAAACTGATATGCAACTGGTACTGTGTGATAACCAGTGCAGTCACGTGATGTTAAACAGCTGAAAACATGCAACCCCAGCATCATGTGATAATGTCTAGAGAGAACAAAGTTAGTAGCATAAGTGGGTTGCAGTGAGTTTAGTAGCATAAGCTTTCATAGACTAAGTCTGCTTCCTCTAAGTTAAATTATTCAACCACAATACTGAATGCTACCATAGTGTAATGTTGACCCACCGTGCAATTGCACAGTGCAATTGCAAAGTGCTTTTGTGTTATAATGCGCTACTGAATGTATCAGAGTCCCACATGCACAATGTATGCTGCCATCAGTTGGATATGATTGTTGCACATTGTCCACTGCACATGCTTAGTGTGGTTTAAAGGTAAAAGTTCCTCTTGACATTAAGTCTAGTCGTGTCCAACTCTGGGGGGTGGTGCTCATCTTCATTTCTAAGCCAAAGAGCCGCCGTTGTCCGTAGACACCTCCTAGGTCATGACTGCATGGAGCGCTGTTACCTTCCCGCCAGAGCAGTACCTATTGATCTACTCACATTTGCATGTTTTCAAACTGCTAGGTTGGCAGAAGCTGGGGCCAACAGCAGGAGCTCACTCCGCTCCTCGGATTCAAACTGCCAACCTTTCGGTCAGCAAGTCCAGCAGCTCAGTGGTTTAATGCACTGCAACACTAAGAAGCCCTCAGTGTGATTTACTGTGATATAAATCTCTTAATTGAATGCCAGCTGAAGTGCAATCTATGATTAACTAACTTTGTAAGACACTGGTAAGAAAGATGGCTTAGAAATAAAATAAAGGAAAATACTTCTAAAAAGACAGATTGTAAAATGCGGATCCTTGACCAGTAGACTTTTTAAAAATGCAGTCTCTGTTTTGCAGGATGATTCTGATTGTGTCTCAGTCCCAGATCAGGGCCAGCCAAAGCCCAAGAGGCAGATGCCAGGCAGCACACCGACCCAGGAAAAGAGCACCAGACCAAAGAATGCGAAAAATCGAGAGCCAGGTAAAGGGAGATGTCTGACTCTAAAGGAGGGATTTGGTGAAGCAGGAAGCCCCCACCTTGTAGCAGTAAGATCAATAAGGCAAAATACCACTTATTATCACACAGGTTGTTGTAAGGACAAAGTGACGGATAGGAGAACCATTCCTCCATATTTGCTGGGGTTAAGGGTGCAGGGTAAATGGGAAAGGGGGAAAAATGTTATACTGGTTAAGATATGCTGGACCACTCTAACAACCACCATGGCAAACTACACAGAGAAGCCACTGAAATCCATAAGCATGTGGACAATTTCAACAGAAAGGAGGAAACCATGAAAATGAACAAAATCTGGCTACCAGTATTTTAAAAAACCCTCTAAAATCAGGACAGTAAAGAAAGAGCAAGACTCAAAAAGCAGGGGAATTCCAAACAAGAGCCAATCAGGGCCAACTAACACCTCCCAACAAAGGATTCCCCCTCAGGCAGGAAGCAGCCAGGCTTTGAAGCTGCAAGGCCATTCAATGCTGATCAAGGTGGCCAATTGCAACATTCACACCTGCGTGCAACAGACAAGAGTTCTTTCTTCCACCCTAGACATCCCACAGATATATAAACCTCATTTGTTTTAGTTTCCAACAGACTTCACAACCTCTGAGGATGCCTGCCATAGATGTGGGTGAAATGTCAGGAGAGAATACTTCTGGAACATGGCCAGACAGCCTGCAAAACTCACAGCAACCCAGAAAAAAAATATTAATAATGAAACACTCGTTTTTACCAGTGCAATTCTATAGTCAACTTTTAACAGAATTGTTCTGGCAAATTATAAATGCCAAGGGAAGTAGTCTCTCTTGGACCTCCAGCATAACCTTTTGGTTCACTTTCGCCAAATGCTGTCCATAAAGTTGCTGTAGATTTAGACATTTCTATAGAGAGCATACTCAGATTCACAAAAGTGAGATTCGCAAATGTGGAAGGCCGACTGTATACTGCCTTGATTTAACTAGAAGGGAGACCCACCTCACTAATAAATTATAAAGAAATAACACTATGTAATGTGATTTTTGTTCCGGGGTTATAAATGCTATTTCCTAATGGGTTCTATCATAAAAACATGACCACCCTGTGTGTGGTCTGTACAAAGGGTTAAAAATGGCAGCCACATAAACAAAGTTTCTGGAGTATAATAACTACTTTCAAAGTAAGTACTGCACCATTAAACAGAAGATAACACTTTCAAACCAGGAACATATTTTTTTTAAAAAAAATTATGTTACATAGTGTAATAGACAGTAGTATAGGCTAAAAGCTGCAATCCAGGAAAATATGTCTTTTCCAATCATAGAATCAGAGAGTTGGGAGAAAATACAGAGGTTGTGTAATTCAGCCCCCTGCCATAAAGGGATGCCCAAGCAAAGCAGTCCTGACAGGTGGCAATCTAGCCTTTGTTTACAAGTCTCTAAATAAGGAGCCTGCACCACAGTTTGAGGCAGTGAGTTTCACTGTTGAACAACTCTTACAGTCAGGAAGTTCTTCCTATAATGTTCAGGTGGGATCTCCTGTAATTTGAACCAAATCCTTTCTTCCCACCTTTCTCTGTGGCCTTTTATTTTCCCAGTTTGTGGTTTGACACCCTTGATGCCTATGGCTGCTTCTCCCGGCTTGGAAGTGGAGGGATCCTGGACAGACCAGCAAACACACAACTCTGGAGAGACCCCTCTTCACTTGGCAGCGCGCTTCTCCCGTGCCGATGCTGCCCGCCGCCTCCTTGCCTCTGGGGCCGATGTCAACGCCCGTGACCAATGGGGACGCACCCCCTTGCACAGCGCTGTAGCCGCTGACGCATTGGGCGTCTTTCAGGTCAGAATATTCTATTCCTGGATTCAAATAAGTATGTGGTGGTTTGAGCATTGGACCATGCATCATCAACAACTTCTGGCAGAAGCATACCATAAAATCACACTGGAGGACCTAGAAAATGCCTTTAGAGAAAGCATGGGCAAACGTCGGTCCTCCAGGTGTATTGGACTTCAACTCCCAAAAATCCCAACCAGTTTACAGGCAGTTAAGAATTGTGGGAGTTGAAGTCCAAAATATCTCGAGGACTGAAGTTTGCCTATGCCTGCTATAGTATTTCTAGTTCTCCAACATGAATATGTGGTCAACCTTCAGGAGATGCAAACTACAGAATTACACTGAAAGACCTGAAAATATCTAGAGATAACAAAATGGATTAACTGGCTTTAATTTATTTTTCATTTGTTCCATTTGAATAGGTTTTTCTGATGAAACAAACAAGTTGTTCGTTGCATAAATCCCTTTCTCCTCCTTACTCCTTAAATTGACTATATTTATCTTGAAGTTTTTTTTAAGTGTTCCAAAAATGGACAGAGGGGTGATAGTGATGGGGCAAGTACTTTCTTATACTGGAACCATATATTAATAAAGCCCTCGATAAAAGGGTTGTGTAGCTTTTTTTGATTTACTTTATCTGCAAACATACCGTATATACTTGAGTATAAGCCAAGTTTTCAGCCCCTTTTTTAGGCTGAAAAGTTCCCCTCACCTTATATTCGAGTCAAAGTTGTTTTACTCTGTTGTTGTTGTTATTATTATTATTTCATTTATTATTTTACTCTATTTATTATTGTTATTATTCCATTTATTATTTTACTCTATTTATTATTGTTATTATTCCATTTATTATTTTACTCTATGTATTATTATTACATTTATTATTTTACTCTATTATTATTGGAAGGCTACGTAAGCACATTTACATTGAAGAAGGTTAGAATAATGGTTTAAACAGAGTTGCAGTCTTATCTTAAATTACAGTTTTATGTAAATATTCAAAAACATTTAACCTACTGATGCCTCAATTTGTTGTTGTTGTTTATTTGTTCAGTTACTTCCTACTCTTTGTGACCTCCTGGACCAGCCCACACCAGAGCTCCCTGTCGACCGTCACCACCCCCAGCTCCTTCAGAGTCAAGCCAGTCCCTTCAAGAATACCATCCATCCATCTTGCCCTTGGTCGGCCCCTCTTCCTTTTTCCTTCCATTTTCCCCAGCATCATTGTCTTCTCTAAGCTTTCCTTTCTTCTCATGATGTGGCCAAAGTACTTCATCTTGGCCTCTACTATTCTTCCCTACAATGAGCAGTCAGGCTTTATTTCTTGAAGTATGGACTGGTTGGATCTTCTCGCTGTCCAAGGCACTCTCAGCACTTTCCTCCAGCACCACAGTTCAAAAGCATCTATCTTTCTTCGCTCAGCCTTCCCTATGGTCCAGCTCTCACATCCGTAGGTTACTACAGGGAATACCATGGCTTTAACTATGCAGATCTTGGTTGCCAGTGTGATGTCTCTACTCTTCACTAATTTATCGAGATTGGTCATTGCTCTCCTCTCAAGAAGTAAACGCCTCAATTAATGTAATTTTATTGGTATCTATTTTTATTTTGAAATTTACCAGCAGCTGCTGCATTTCCCACCCTCGGCTTATACTCGAGTCAATACGTTTTCCCAGTCTTTTGTGGTAAAATTAGGTGCCTTGGCTTATATTCGGGTCGGCTTATACTTCCCATAGTATCTTTTGATACTTTGTTTCTTTCAATTTGCACCCAGGCAACAGAGTTGTTATTCTTGACAAATTATCCTAGTTGAAACAATTGAAATGTGTCATATTGTTCCAAATTCGGTATCGCTGGGCCTCCTCTTGGAGAATGAGCTGTTAAAGGTCAGGGATTAAATCCAAGCATATTACTTCCTGTGATTTTGTTCTACAAGTTGTGGAGCCACGTCTGAAGAGGCTCTGCTTTTCTCTGCAAGTTTACCTGTTCTGTCCACATAAATGACTGCTTTGAAGATGGCCTTGATCAGAAGATGAGTCCATGCGGGAAGGAATACCTTCTTGGATGTACAGATAAATCTCACCGGAAACATCCATTTCTCTGTCCCAACAGATCCTACTCCGGCAAAGGCAGACAGATTTGGATGCATCCACCCAAGATGGCTCCACTCCACTTATCCTTGCCGCACGACTGGCTGTTGAAAACATGGTGGAGGAGCTGGTGGCCAATCATGCAGATGTCAGGGCCACAGACAAGAGAGGTGAGGGCTTTGTCCAGCACAGAGTTAACAGTGAGATAATAAATATTTTGTCATTTTGGGATTAGACAGGATTTGTGGTTGTCTGTCAAGTTGCAGACATGGAAAACAAAATGCAGGGAGATGGAAGGTAGGATGTGGAAGAATTGGGAATGTTGCAACTTTGAGAGGGGAGCCCCCCATTTTGGATGAATCCAGTCTTTCACATACTGGTGCTCTCCAAATATGTTGGACTTCAAGGTATAAAAAGCATCCATGCTGTCTGAAAATGATGGGAGTTATCATTTAAATATATCTGGAAGAATCAATCAGTCCGCACCTTGGTGCTTTACAGATACATTGGATTTCAACTCCCATTATGCATATGAGCTGAGAATGATGGGAGTTGACATTCAACAAAACTGGATTAATACATCTTTCCACATCCTAGTGCTCTCCGGATATGTTGGACTTCAATTCCTAGCAGGCATGATACTTAGGCAATCCCTTGTAGCCCAAGGATGATGGTCCTCCAAGTGTAGTGTCTTGGTGGTGGGTCCATAGGTGGCTGTGGAGCCCTATTCTTGACCCGCATGTTCTCCCACAGTGAGGACATGTTTCCAGATGGAAGGTGGTCCCAGTAAAGGTTGGCTTGACACACCTTCCTCTTGGCACGTTTCTCCCTTTCTGTTATTGCTGTGTTCGATTTATTGGGAGATTTCAAAGTGTATGTTTTTAAAGCTGTGATCATGTGTTTGTAAAGCTGCTTAGCATGTGTAGACTTAACAGACCACAGAGGTTTGAGTTTGTCCTAGAAGTGTTTTCCTGTTTCCTCTGATGATACCGACTTTGGTCATCAGAAAACTATTTGAGAGGCGTGCCGTTACTGATAAGGAGAAGGCTGTAATTGTTTCTGCCGGAGCAGATGTGCTGCTCTGTGCTGTGTTAGTCTTTGTGTATATAATGTAAATAAAGCTAATTACTTTATGGCTACAATCCATCCAAGTTTTATTACTGCTTTGACACTTTCGCCCTCCATTCGTGCCTCTTCGAAATCTGCAGCACTGCTGGTCACAGCTGACATTCAGTTAGAGCGCTCAAGGACCAGGGTCTCCCAGTTCTTGGTGTCTATGCCACAGTTTTTAAGGTTGGCTTTAAGGCCATCTTTAAATCTCTTTTCCTGTCCACCAATGTTACGTTTCCCGTTCTTGAGTTGGGAGTATAGTAAACACCGGGAGGGTCGAAATTTGCCCATGCCCGCACTAGATGATTGGTCTCATTTGGATATAGATTCTGTCCCTTCTTGGTCCTGGAGTACCTGCTCCTATAAGAAATATACTCATTGCTTTTAAGCAAGTTAATGCCTAGGACTCAAGAACTCTGAACTTCTCATCACTTCTTTCCATGTCTGGCAGGAAAGAGTGCCCTCCACTGGGCTGCAGCTGTGAATAATGTCCGTGCCGCCCTCGTCCTGCTGAGAAACGGAGCTGACAAGGATGCTCTGGACAACCGGGTAATGTATTATGTCTGCTGGCACTATCTCAAAAAAAAAAAAAGGTGTGGAAGAACTCAAGGAATATATCTCAACACAGACCATTTTAACTGCCATGGTTCAATGCGGTGGGATTTGTAGTTTGGTGACAAACCAGCACTTTTTGGCAAGGAAGGCTAAGGACCTTGTAGTACTACACCTACTGTAATTCCATAGCATTGAGCCATCTGCATCTCGGGTCGCTCCTTTATCACTATAGCAGTGGTTCTCAACCTGGGGTCCCCAGATGTTTTTGGCCTACAACTCCCAGAAATCCCAGCCAGTTTACCAGCTGTTAGGATTTCTGGGAGTTGAAGGCCGAAAACATCTGGGGACCCCAGGTTGAGAACCACTGCACTATAGGAACATTTTGTATACATACCAAAGCAGAGTGAAGCATAGCCAGGACTATGTGAACTTGTGGCAGGAAACAAGAGAAAATACTGTTGTAAGGTTAAAAAAAAGGAAAACTTACATGTATTATTTCAGGAAATCCACCTTGAGATAGGAAAGGAGATAGACAAAATAAAATTGCTTACATTTCCATATAAGATTCTCTAAGTTTATATATTTATAAGTTTATATAAGAGTCCCCCTTAAATAAAATAAATAAGTTTGACTCTCATCGATACGCATAATAAAAGTGAAAATGTGTATGTGTGTGCCCCATGACCAACTGAACACACTGCAGGGGTTTGTGGGAATGGACCTTGATTTTGGGAGTTATAGTTCATCATTAACCAGAAAGCACTGAACCCAGCCAACGTCAGATCTGGACCGAATTTGGCACACAGACCCAACATGGCATACAGGTGAGGTTTGAGGGTGAATGACCTTTGGAGTTGTAGTTCACCCACATCCAAAGAGCACCATATCCAGCGACGATGGCTCTGGACCAAACTTGGCACATAGACCTAACATGGCCTACTGTGCATATAGGTGGGGTTTGGGGGGAGGGGTGAATGACCCTGGATTTGGAAGTTGTAGTTCATCCTTATCCAGAGAGCAGTGAATCCAGTCAACGTCGGATCTGGACTAAACTTGGTACATAGACCCAACATGGCCAACTGTGCATACAGCCGGTGCATACAATTTGACCCTGATCCATCATTGTTTGAGTCCACAGATGTAGGTGAACTACAACTCTCAAACTCAAGATCAATGCCGACCAAACCCTGCTAGTGTTTTCTGTTGGTCATGGGAGTTCTATGTGAGAAATTTGGGCCAATTCTATCATTGGTGGGGTTCAGAATGCACTGTGATTGTAGGGGAACTATAAATCTCAGCAACTACAACTCCCAAATGACAAAACAATCCCACAACCCCACCAGCATTCACATTTGGATATATTGGGTATTTGTGCCAAATTTGGTCCAATGAATGAAAATACATCCTGCAGATCAGATATTTACATTACGATTCACAACAGTAGCAAAATGACAGTTATGAAGTAGCAATGAAAATAATGTTGTGGTTGGGGGTCACCACCACACGAGGAACCAGTACTTCATATTGTGCCCGGAAACAAACCGGCAGATGGAAAACTGTTGCAATTTGGATAAATAAATCACAAGGGCTGATTACATTTACCCTCTTTCTTCCTTTCTGGCTTCATAGGCACAGACCCCTCTGTTCCTGGCTGCTCAAGAAGGGAGCTACCAAGTGGCCAGCCTCCTCCTCCAACATGGAGCCAAGCAGAACATCCGAGACCACCTTGGCCGGCTTCCAAAGGACGTGGCCCAGGAGCGTCTCCACCACGACATCGTATCTCTCTTGGATCAGACTTCCCCCTCTTGTGGGACTGGTCAGCGCTCGCCACATAGACCACGGCCACAGGCCCACCGGACTACAGCCAACCTCCACAGGTTACCAGGGCAGACTAGCCAACTGCGGCTAACTCCTGTGCCTGAGAAGGAAGATCTTTTTAAGGAAGATCCAAATAGCTCACCTGAAGATGCTGCCAGGCCACCGACTGAGTGACTCTGCCCCTTCGGGGTGTGGAACAGACAGACAGGACAATGGGGGTTCAGTGATGTTGGGTTGAGCCACCATGGGTGTCATCCCCATTGATGTGAGTGAAGGAATGATGATGTCACAGGAAAGCATGATAGATGGCTGTGACATCACTCTTGGGGGACAATTTTGATGTCATGAGTGATGATGCCAGATGGCAAGGGGATGACAGTCAGCAGTCCTGCATACTCCAAACTAGAATGAGTGACCTTTGTCAGATCTGTTACATAGAATCAAGGAGTTGGAAGAGATCCCAAGGGCAAGAAAACACAATCAAACCACTCCTGACAGATGGCCATCCAGCTTTTGTTAAAAACTTCTAGAATCATAGTTGGAAGAGATCTCATGGGCCATCTAGTCCAACCCCTGCCAAGAAGCAGGAAAATTGCATTCAAAGCACCCCCGACAGATGGCCATCCAGCCTCTGTTTAAAAGCCTCCACCACACTCTGGGGCAGAGAGTTCCACTGCTGAACAGCTCTCACAGTCAGGAAGTTCTTCCTAATGTTCAGATGGAATCTCCTTTCTTGTAGTTTGAAGCCATTGTTTCCTAGTCTCCAGGGAAGCAGAAAACAAGCTTGCTCCCTCCTCCCTGTGGCTTCCTCTCACATATTTATACATGGCTATCATGTCTCCTCTCAGCCTTCTCTTCTTCAGGCTAAACATGCCCAGCTCCTTAAGCCGCTCCTCATAGGGCTTGTTCTCCAGACCCTTGATCATTTTAGTCACCCTCCTCTGGACACATTCCAGCTTGTCAATCTCTCTTGAATTGTGGTGCCCAGAATTGGACACAGTGTGATTCCAGATGTGGTCTACCAAGGCAGAATAGAGAGGATAGCATGACTTCCCCAGATTTAGACACTATACCCCTATTGATACAGGTCAAAATCTCGTTGGCTTTTTTTGCCGCCGCATCACATTGTTGGCTCATGTCTAAACAAGGAGGTTTTACAACAGGTGTCGGCAGCATATCCTACTGCCAAACAGTTCTTACCATCAGGAAGTTCTTCCAAAAGTTTAGGTGGAATCTCTTTCCTATAATTGAATTTCAAAGATGTCAAAGATACAGAATCCCAGCTTTAACGAAAAGGGGAATGTAGAATTACAAGCAAGAGGGGTAGCCATGTTAAGCTGTTACCACAAATGCACACAGAGAGATTTGTGTTATCTTAGAATGTCAGATTTATTGTGGCCAAAACTTACAATAACGCTGTACAGTCTTTAAGGTGCCATGACATTGTTTGTCTGTATGGAAACTGTATTTACAATCCGTCAATGGCTGTATCTCTTGCCGTCCCCCTTTCCTGGTTCATTGAAAATACAGGACTCTTTATTTTACACATAAGAGAAGAACCACAGATTTTTTTAAAATAAAAAAAACTTTAACAATTGTCATTCCTGTTTGGGCCACATGGTGGCAAAAGTGCCATATTTTAAAATAATCTAAAAAATAATGGGTGTTGAATGTATTGTCGAAGGCTTTCATGGCTGGAATCACTCGGTTCTTGTGGGTTTTTTCGGGCTATATAGCCATGTTCTAGAGGCATTTCTCCTGATGTTTCGCCTGCATCTATGGCAAGCATCCTCAGAGGTGAGGTCATGGGTGTTGCTTCAGGATATTTTAGCAGTTCTCATTCTCTCCAGAAGTCGGTGGTGCTGGTGCCACTTGTTTCAATTCTGTCTTAGTGGGAGATGTGGTGGATGGATGAGAGCATTTTTTTTTTGCTGGACCATAATTATGGAGTGGGAGAGAAAGATGAAGGGAGTACCAAGGACTTTGAAGTCATACCAGCCACCAAAAACGTATGTAGAGCATCAGTACCACAAAGATCAGGCTGGTGGCAGCGGCCTTGGCATAAGCAGAGCGGCTGTTGAGGAGTTTGGCGTCCTGGCGGTATTTCTTGGAAAGAGTCGACAAGCTGCTGGCCTTGGAATCCAGAGCTGAGATGAGGAAAAAGAAGAGGAGATACATTACTGGGTGTCTAAAACCTCATATTTACTGTATATATTCTCGAGTATAAGCCGACGCACCTAATACTGGAAAAATGTATTGACTTGATGTGAGTGAAGGAATGTGGCACCAGGATTGTGGCGCAGCTGGCTGAGTGTCAGCTGCATTAAGATCATTCTGACCAAAAGGTCATAAGTTCGAAGCCAGCCTGGGCTGGAGTGGGTGTCCAGCCATTGTGTAGCCTGTTGTTGACCTTTGCAACCCGAAAGACAGTTGCATCTGTCAAGTAGGAAAATAAGGTACCACCTTGTGTGGGAGGCTAAATTAACTAATTTATGAGGCCATAAAGAAAACTCCGGGATGTGGAATGCGGAAGAACTTCATCGGTGTCGCTGATGGACGATGAAAGCAGCAGCTCCCCTGGCGGCCAGAAAAAAGTTAAATAGCCTCTGTGTATTGTCTGTATTTGTTGTCTGTCAAACTGGCATTGAATGTTTGCCATATATGTGTATACTGTAATCCGCCCTGAGTCCCCTGCAGGGTGAGAAGGGCGGAATATAAAAACTGTAAATAAATAATAAATAAGCCGAGGGTGGGAAATGCAGCAGCTACTGGTACATCTCAAACTTAGATGCCAATGAAATTACATCAATTGAGGCATCAGGAGGTTAAATGTTTTTGAATATTTACATAAAACTGTAATTTAAGATAAAGACTTTCCAACTGTGATTAAACCATTATTCTAACCTCCTTCAGTGTAAATGTGCTTACATATCATTCCAATATTATTACATTTCCATTATTCTACTCTATTATTACTATTTTTATTACCTTCCAATAATAAGAAATGTAATAAAAATAGTAATAATAGAGTAAAATAATGGAAATGTAATAATAATTATAAATAGAGAAACATAATAAATGTAATAATAAAAATAGAATGAAATAATGTAATAGCAATATTAAATAGAGTAAAATAATAAATGTAATAATAACAATAATAAATTACATCAATTGAGGCATCAGTAAGTTTAATGTTTTTGGATATTTACATAAAACTGTAATTTAAGATAAGACTGTCCAATTCTAACCATTATTCTAAACTTCTTCAATGTAAATGTGCTTACATATCTTTCCAATAATAATAAAGAGAGTAAAATAATAAATGAAATAAAAATAATGGAGTAAAATAATGCAAATGTAATAATAACAATAATAGAGTAAAATAATAAATGTAATAATAATAATAATAATAATAATAATAATAATAATAATAAAACTTTATTTGTACCCCGCTACCATCTCCCCAAGGGACTCGGTGCGGCTCACATAAGACCAAGCCCACAACACATCAATAAACAAAAGTGATAACAAATAATCAATACAAAATAGTTATAATAAAACTCAAAAACAAAAAAATACACAATAAGCAATAAACAATAACAATAACATACAGCATTTAAAAACCTATGGCCGGGCCAAATGTAATAATTAAAATTTAAAATGCTGGGCATGAACAAGGTAAGGTAAACTAGGATAGGGTTTTCAAAGAAAGATGAGGGCACACAGACAATCCTAAATCAATATTAAAGTGCATTTGAGGACATATTGCTAAGAGTTTTCCTTAATAATAGAGTACAATATGTAAATGTAATAATAATAATAGAGTAAAATGATAAATGTTATAGAAATAATAACAGTAAATAATAAACTAATAAATGTAACGAAAATAATAATAGCAGAGTATAATAAATGTAATAAAAATAAAGAGTAAAATAATAAATATAATAAGAATAGAGTAAAATAATGTAAATGTAATAATAATAGAGTAAAATAATAAATGTAATAAAAACAACAGAGTAAAATAATATAGGTAATAATAATAATTAGAGTAAAATAAAAAATGTAATAAAAATAGTAATAATAACAAAGTAAATAATAAATAACCTTGACTCAAGTATAAGCCAAGGGGGAGCTTTTTCAGCCTAAAAAAAGGGCTTATATTCGAGTATATAGGGTAAGTTGCCATAGAATCATAGCATTGGCAGAAGCCCCAAAGGCCATCCAGTCCCCATTTGCCGTGCAGGAATATACAATCGAAGTATTCCTGGCAGACGGCCATTCAGTATCCACTTAAAATGTCCAGAGGAGACTCCGCCACTCCCAGGCAGCAGCACATTCCATTGTCGAATGGCTCTTATCATCAGGAAGTTCCTCTTTAATGTTTAGATGGAACCTCTTTTCCTTCAGTTTGGAAACACTGGTAATGTCCTAATCTCCGGAGGTGCAGAAAACAAGTGTGCCCCTTCTCAGTGTGACATCCTTCCATATATTAAACATTCAAACTGCTTCGCTTACATTGGCTCTTAGATAAAAGCCCATCTTTTCTGCATTGAATTCAAGGCTCTCTTTAGCTACCTTGTAGAATGAATGCAGTTTGACATCACTTTAAGTGCCATGGCTCAAATTACAAGAAAGGAGATTCCTTCTGAACATGAGGAAGAACTTCCTGACTGTGAGAGCTGTTCAGCAGTGGAACTCTCTGCCCCGGAGTGTGGTGGAGGCTCCTTCTTTGGAAGCTTTTAAACAGAGGCTGGATGGCCATCTGTCAGGGGTGCTTTGAATGCAATATTCCTGCTTCTTGGCAGAAGGGGGTTGGACTGGATGGCCCATGAGGTCGCTTCCAACTCTTTGATTCTATGATTCTATGGGATGTATAGTTTTGCAGGTCTGTAGCCTTGTCTGCCAAGGGGTGCAGGTGCCTGGTCAAACTACACATCCCAATTCCATAGCACTGATCCATGATCATTAAAAAGGTGACAAACTGCATTGATTCTGAAACAGGCATGGGCAATCTTTGGCCCTCCGGGTGTTTTGGACAACAACTCCCACAATTCCTAACAGCCTACTGGCTGTTAGGAATTGTGGGAGTTGGAGTCCGAAACACCTGGAGGCCTGAAGTTTTCTCATGCATGTTCTAAAGTGTAGATGTGCCTTCTGCTATTTGAACTTCACAACAACCCTGTGGGCTAAGTCACATTGAAAAAGGGTGGCTAACCGGTGATGCAGCGGATTAAACCACTGAGCTGCTGAACTTGCTGACTGAAAGGTTGACAGTTCAAATCCAGGGTGAGCTTCCGCTGTTAACCCCAGCTTCTGCCAACCTAGCAGTTCGAAAACATGCAAATGTGAGTAGATCAATAGGTACCGCTCTGGTGGGAAGCTAATGGCACTCCATGCAATCATGCCGGCCACATGACCTTAGAATCATAGAATCAAAGAGTTGGAAGAGATCTCATAGGCCATCCAGTCCAACCCCCTGCCAAGAAGCAGGAATATTGCATTCAAATCACCCCTGACAGATGGCCATCCAGCCTCTGTTTAAAAGCTTCCAAAGAAGGAGCCTCCACCACACTCCGGGGCAGAGAGTTCCACTGCTGAACGGCTTTCACAGTCAGGAAGTTCTTCCTAATGTTCAGATGGAATCTCCTTTCTTGTTTGAAGCCATTGTTCCGTCCTAGTCTCCAGCAGAAAACAAGCTTGCTCCCTCCTCCCTGTGGCTTCCTCTCACATATTTATACATGGCTATCATATCTCCTCTCAGCCTTCTCTTCTTCAGGCTAAATATGCCCAGCTCCTTAAGCCGCTCCTCATAGGGCTTGTTCTCCAGACCCTTGATCATTTTAGTCACCCTCCTCTGGACACATTCCAGCTTGTCAATATCTCTCTTGAATTGTGGTGCCCAGAATTGGACACAAGATTCCAGGTGTGGTCTAACCAAAGCAGAATAGAGGGGTAGCATTACTTCCCTGGATCTAGACACTATGCTCCTATTGATGCAGGACAAAATCAACCTTGGAGGTGTCTATGGACAACACTGGCTCTTCGGCTTAGAAATGGAGATGAGCACCACCCTCCAGAGTCAGACACGACTGGACTTAATGTCAGGGGTGACTTTCATGGCTCAGTGACAACTCAAATTTGGATCTCCAGAGTCCCTAGCTAAAACTCTTCAAGAGCATCACTATGTACATTTTGGGAGTTCATCTGATTTAACCTACTGATTAGGACCCTCCGTGTCAGATGAACTTGAATTCCTAGCAGGTGGTTGTTGTGACAGCTATGAAATAACTCTGCGAAAGGAGATCCTGGCAAAACCTGAGCCCGGCATCATGTTCTGTTGTCAAACAACTCTTATCTCCTTCCTTGTAATTTCCACCTCTGTGTTCTAGCCCTGCCCTCTGGAGCAAAACAAAACATATCCACTCCATCTTGGTCATGACAGCTCTTCCAATACAGGAAAGTTGCTATTGAGTCTCTTACCTTCTTCTTCATTCCTGAAGCTAAATGTGCATTTGCATACACTGTACTATCAGAAAGGACAGGTGTGACTCTCGCATCCCCCTCTGACTTTGGAGTATTTTAGAGTTTTGAATTGTGAATAATAGTGCTCTACCTGTACCAGGCCACACCTGCCAGCAATACAAGAAGGACTTGCCCTGTCTCCATAGATATTTGTGGAGGGCTGACAGTATACACAAGTTGGCCGTGTATACTATGTGATCCTCTCTTTAGCACAGCTAGTAAACTACCAGCAATGATAAGATCTACCAACCAAAAGGTTGCCAGTTCAAAGCCCTGGGTTGGCATGAGTATCGGACAGTCAGCTCAGCTTGCTGTTTACCTAAGCAGTTCGAAAACAGCTTGAGCTGTAATTAGAGAAATTAGGTACCGCTAAAACAAGTGGGGAGGTATTTTACAACACCATAAAGAAAAAAAATCAGAAAATGCCTGGTGACCAAAAGGAAGGAGGAAGTCTTGATGGCTCTTTGTCATAGAGGATGGAGTGATTGTATTCCCTGTGCCTGGATTCAAGCACAACCTCCAAGGTGTCAAAAAAGCTGGATGTTGACACAACATATCTCCTTTCTGTTCTGTCTGTCTCTGTCCTGTCTATCCAAAACAGCACTGAATGTTTGCCATGTATGTGTACTGTGATCCACCATGAGTCCCCCTGGGGAGACACGGCGGAATGTAAATATAGTGTTGTTGTTGTTGTTATCAACCCTTGCAAGGATGTGCGCCTGGACAACCCAGCTCTTGCCCTCAATAGACTGCCTTCCCTTTCCCTACCTGATAAGGCCTCTCCACGCTGAAGCACCTCTTCTATATTGGTGACCATGATTTTCTGGACATCCTGGAGTTCCAGGTTGATGCTGCTCAGGTGACGCTTTGACCAGGTATCCAGATAGGACTTCTTCAGCTTCTGGATATAAATGTCTAAACAGAAGGATTTGATTGGTTAGTAGGCTTGGGCCCAAATCAGTTTGAACGAAAATGATTTGTAATATTTGGTGGTCCGTTTCATTTACTTATTTACTTACTATATTTATATCCCGCCTTTTAATGCATTTTAACTGTATACTGTTGTGAAGGCATTGAATTATTGCCTATCTGTAAGCTGCTTTGAGTCCCCAGACTGACCAGGAGAGGTCCTCCTGGTCAGTCTGGGGACTCAAGGTAGCTTACAGATAGGTAATAATTCAATGCCTTCACAACAGTATACAGTTAAAATACATTAAAATTACAAATAAATACATTAAAACATTATAAAACATTACTATCAGTATAAAGTCATGCAGGCCGTTATCGTAATCTAGGTCATTCCCATAGTCACTGCACATAGTTCCAGTAAATCTAATTGCACTATGGTTCTTCTTTGAAGGCTTGATCCCAGAGCCATGGTTTTACTCTTTTTCTGAAGGTCAAGAGAAAGGGGGATAATATAACATCGCTGGGGAGGGTGTTGCACAGCCGAGGGGCCACCACCGAGAAGATCTGTCTATCGTTCCCATTAGTCTCACCTGCAAAGGAGGTGGGACCAAGTGTAGGGCCTCTCCGGATGATCTTAATCTCCAAGATGGTTCATAGTGAGAGATCCGTTCAGACAGGTAAGCTGGGCTGGAACCATTTAGGGCAGTGCTTCTCAACCTTGGGTCCCCAGATGTTTTGGCCTACAACTCCCAGAAATCCCAGCCAGTTTACCAGCTGTTAGGATTTCTGGGAATTGTAGGCCAAAAACATCTGGGGACCCCAGGTTGAGAACCACTGGTTTAGGGCTTTATAGGCTAAAACCAGCACTTTGAATTGTGCTCGGTAGCAGACTGGCAGCCAGTAGAGCTGGCGTAACAGGGGAGTAGTACGCTCCTTGTACACCACTTTGGTAAGCAATCTGGCTGCCACCCATTGGACCATTTGGAGCTTCCGAACAGTCTTCAAAGGCAACCCCACATACAGCGAATTGCAGTAATCTATTCAGGATGTAACCAGAGCAAGGACCACCACTTCCCAAGATATGGGCGCAACTGGCGCACAAGTTTTGTGTGAAAGCTCCCCTGGTCACTGCAGAAACCTGGGGTTCCAGGCTCAGCTATGAATCCAGCATCACACAAGAGGAAAAAAAAGAGGAAGAAAGGGGGAGTGTCTTTGGCCGAATCAAGACATGAGTAAAAACAAAGAAAAACAAGAAGACAAAATAGGGAGATAGAAAGGGGGTGGGCGGAGGGTAGGACCCCTGAAAAAAAGAGAGAAGGAAAGAGGGAGAGGGAGGAAAGGGAAAGAAAAAAAGGAAAGGAAGGAAAAGGAGAGAAGAAAGAAAAAGGGAAGGAAAAGGAAAAAGACTTAGTAACAGGTAGAAAGGAGTGCTAGAGGTGAATGTCATCAGGTGACATCAAACTCCAAAACTCTGGATGATCTCATATAATCTCTGAAAACAGAATGGGGAGGAGGCATTCGAAAAGCCTGGCAAAACGGATTCAGAGAGCCAGATTTTATTGGCAACTGGAGAGGAGAGAGTTAATTCTGCAATATACCTGAAGCAGGGGCTATTGTGGGGCTCTGAGAAGATGGGATTATTTGCAGCACAAATTGTGAGAAAGGGCCCTCAGCTTGGCTTGCTCTATATGGCCCATGGGGACCTCTTTGCCCTCTCTGCCTTCGCACATACGTACCAAACTCAATGAAGGCATAAGGTCGCGAAACAGAGGAAACTTTCTTTCCATACAGCTCCCAAAATTCAGTTTGCAACTCCTCCAGGAAAGAGAAGGCCAGTTTCTTAGAGTACGCAGCTTCACACAACGTCAAGTAGCAAATGCCTTGGCTGATCAGGTAACTGGACAAAAGTAGGATAAGAAGGAGAAGGGGGCAGGTGGGACAAGAAGAGACCCTGAGTTAAAATTATTCCAGAGATCAATGAGGAAAAAAATATTGGAAATAAGCTTTCAAAATCTATCTGTACAGTGGGTCCCCCATATCCACAAGCTCCAGATCCTCAATGTCTATGGACCTCAGACTACCACACCTCTATTATTACATTGTTGAGATGTGAGTGAGGCATTTGGAGAAGGAGAAGGGGCACGCTGCCAGGGAGGTTGTTGGTGGGACTTGAAGAGTGCTTTCAAATGTATTTTAAATGTATTTAATTATATTTTAATTGCATTTCATCCTAACTCACACATACTATTTAATTAGTTTTATTTTGTATTTGCTTTGTTGGTGCAATAGGGTAATGTGGTGGCACAATGGGTTAAACCCTTGTGCTGCTGAACTGCAGACCTGAAGGTGGGTGGTTTGAATCTGCAGGATGGGATGAGCTCCTGCTGTTAGCCCTAGTTCCTGCCAACCGAGCAGTTTGAAAACATCAATAGGTACCCCTCCGGTGGAAAGGTAACTGGGCTCCATGCAGTCATGCTGGCCACATGACCTTGGAGGTGTCTATGGACAACGCCGGCTCTTCGGCTTAGAAATGGAGATGAGCACCACACCCCAGAGTCAGACATGACTAGACTTAATGTCAGGGGAAACCTTTACCTTTATATAATTATGCTGGAGAAATTAATTAATTAATAATACTGTCCAGCTGAAGCATGCACATTCATCTCACCACTATTTAATAATATGGATCGCAGTAATCTATCGAACCCTACAGATATGATGGGTCCAATGCATAAATAATTCTGGTCTAAAAAAAATGTAAATATATTGTCGAAGGCTTTCATGGCCGGAATCACTGGGTTGTTGTAGGTTTTTTCGGGCTATATGGCCATGTTCTAGACCTCACTACCTCTGAGGATGCTTGCCATAGATGCAGGCGAAACGTCAGGAGAAAGAAAATGATCAGTGGTCTCAACCTGTGGGTCCCCAGGTGTTTTGGCCTACAACTCCCAGAAATCCCAGCAAGTTTAACAGCTGTTAGGATTTCTTGGAGTTGAAGGCCAAAACATCTGAGGACCCACAGGTTGAGAACCACTGATATAAGGGATAGATGCAGGCAAAAAACCTACAACAACCCAATGTAAATATAGGTTGAGTAGTATCCCTTATATAAAATGCTTGGGATTAAGAGAGTTTAGGATTTTGGGATTTTCCCCATTTAAGAATACCTTTGTTTGCATATACAGACATAATGAGACATCTTGAAGATGACCCAAAGTCTAAACATAGGAGCTGCGGTAGCACAGAGGTTAAAGTCACTGGCTGCAGGAGAGCTGCTGACTGGAGGGTCAACCGTTCGAAACTATGAGTCGGGATGAGCTCCTGACTATTAGTCCTAGCAGTTCAAAAGCATGCAATACGAGTAGATCAATAGGTACTGCCTCAGCAGGAAGGTAAAAGGCTTTCATGGCCAGAATCATTGGGTTGTTGTAGGTTTTTGGGGGGCTATATGGCCATGTTCTAGAGGCATTCTCTCCTGACGTTTCACCTGCATCTATGGTAAGC